CCTTTAAACTCAACATACTATTCCTGTTACAAAGCAACTATATCTCATTTTGAACTACTTAAAATTAAATAATATGTGATATCTTGTCATCAAATGATGTTATTTATTACGTCCAATCAGCAAAATTTGTTATTAAAAAATGGTATGGGTTTACTATAAGATTTATAAGTTTAAAAAAATGTCCAAAATTAAAGTCGCGATATATTTTGTCATCTAAATGTATTTAATTCCCAATTCCAACTCCTAATTTTGTCGACTTGACGTAATAAATAATGTTGTTTGGTGTCATGTTGATACTTTAATGTTATTTTATCCAATGGTCATTAGTGCAAAATTGAGAAATTTGAGCAACTATTATCGTAAAAAATAATTCAGTAACAAGTAATATAATTATTCAAAACTTCAGTGACCATTGACATAATTTACCCATATTCAACTCTTATCTTTTGATTGCTTTATTTAATAATGACATCTAAATTAATATATAAGTTAATTTTACTAAATACTTTGTAATGTTATTAACTAAAAACCCATTTGTAATCTTAAATGACGAAGACCAACAGTAATGATACTTCATACAATAATTTTTGCACGAACATTACGAGATTTGTTGTTTAAACACGCATCTCTTGCGAAATTTGCATTGTGTCCTAAAACTTTAACCATGGAGGAAAGCATACCAATTTGCATTTGAAGTTCTCTGGTGAAAGATCAACGTTATCTCAAAATACCATTGATTTCAAACGTCTTTAACTTTTTGTAAGATAGGCAAGTCGTGTTACTAAATGATAAAATTTTATATCGAATAAAGATGAAAAACGTAGATTAATTTATAAAGATTTGAGTTATTTTTCTTAACAATGTTGACATTTTAAGATAGAATTTCAAGTCTTAATATAGTATCAGAGTCCATTAAATTCCAACGAGCAATTTGATCCAATTAAGACTCAATTGGTCTACTCAAATGAGTCACCATCTTTCAGGGGCTTGTTAAAAGATAAAATCTCATATCGAATTAAAATAAAAACATATATTAATTTATAAGGATTTGAGTTACTCCTCTTAATAAAGTTAATCATTTAAGATCGAACCACTGACGCCGACAGTATAGTGATTATTTTGCAGGCTGAAATCAATTGACAAAAGTAGAGAAGAACGCAAGAGAAATATAAAGAAAAACGAGAAA